AAATGTGTTACCTCTCCATTAAGGCTTCGCGGTTTTTTATAAACGACGTTGTATATAAAATAATATACATGCTGGAAGCATAAGTACTATTATTTGACATACGAAGAAGACAGAGAAAAAATTCGCCTAAGATTCGATGTGTCGCACATGACGAGAAATAGCTAGTTAAATTTTAAACTATTCTCTAAGTGTAGCAGAGTTTCTCTCATTTTGTTGTTTCTAAGAATATTCTGACATAATGTGTATAATAGATACCCGTTTAATTAATATTAAAAATACGCCGAGTAAACAAATCTGTCGGATTTTATTGATTTGGAACAAAAATTTGTAGCATTACTTTATTTATATTAGAGTAGGGCGGGGCTTTTTTGTTCATTTCTTGCGATAATTATGTTTCTGAACAGAATATTTTGATTATTTAAAGGTTGTGCTTGTGCTTTCAAGGAATAATCATGATTGTATAATGTAATTATAAGCACGTCTCTGCAAAGAGATATTGTTTGCTATTGTATACTTTTGTATTACTTTAAGTTGAAACTGACGGAATAGTCCCGCCCTACCTTATGTTTACATGTTTTTTTAACAAAAATTTGGCAATTGCACCATTTGATAAAGTAAAGTTTCAGCTTTAGGAATGTCTGTTTTTTAAATTGCAGTATGACAATTTTTTAACGGAGTCATAAGCAATTTAAAGTCAAAATACTCCTTTTATTTACTCCGCGACAACTTAATAACAAAAAATCATAAGAAAATTTAAAAAAGAAATGATTTTGTGGAAAAAATTTAAATTTCACGATAAAAAGTTAGAAATTTTCGCAAGTCTTTTGGGCACATGACAGGTCCACAATTCAAGACATAATGTCTTTTCGAAAAAAGTAGAGATTTAAAAAAACGAAATGAATTTAAAATACTGTGAAATTCTTTTTTTAATTTTGTTTATTTTTAACGAAGTTACAGTTGGTTAAATTTTTGAAATTAGTAGTGTTACTAAATTTTATTTCAATTCAAAGTATTGCTTCGTACATTTCTCCGTATATAATACTCTTAGATAAAAGAATAATATAATATAAAGGAAAACAGTATTAATCTATCCACAGTCGAGCATGTTAGTCAGAGTTGAAAAGATTATAATAACTATGATAATCTCTTTAATCATATGTTTACCAAACTGATGATTATTAATTGAACATTAATTCCAAATACTTTTGATGTTGATTACATTTGCATGCGATAATAGTTTTTTTAATGACATTAAATGCAATTATTTTGCTTTCTAACAGAAAAAGAACTAATAAAAGTCAAACTGCAGATGGTATTAATAATTACTTTTTTTAAATTGGAGTTACAATGGATGTCCTCATTAGAATGTAGATATTTTCTAACGTTCTCTTTTTAAATTAAATTTTGTTTTAAGGTATTCGCAGTAGATCGATAGGTTTGGTAAACATAGAAAAAGGCAATTATATTAATGTAAATTAAAAATCCATGCGTATAGTTCAACTCTTACGTCCTCTTAACATTTTAGATTCAAAGTTTTTCGTTTTTTTTTTCTATCAAATTAATTAAATAGTTTGGTAACCTTCAAAATAATAAGACTAACAATAAGTATCGTGACATTGGGAAGAGGAACAAAAGAAGATAATTATAAATTAACTCACGGTTTTGCCAAAAGCTTCAACAGATATCGACATAATTGTATGGAGCGTTATCAGAGACTATTCATTACTTAATTGTGCCACTTTCAATAAATTCTAAATTGTATCTCCTAGACTTTTCATCTCTATTCTGTAATTATTAACATTGTCGGTATGTGTATATATTGTTGTTGCAAAGGTTTTACATAATAAAAAAGGGTAACCATATTGACACACTATTGTTAAAAATTACAAAATAGGGGCATTAGAATTTATTGCCTTATTTATTTTATTACTATTTGTGCGATACACCAAAATTGGTGTATGCACGCAAGTGTATTGCTTTTTGTGAACCTAGTTTCATTTTAAAATAAAATTTATTGCAAATGAGAAATACGTTAAATATCAGTTCGTCCAAATTCTTAATAAAGTTACGAATCGAATTTATAACCACAAAGTGTGAAATCTTGCTTACAATTACCACCAATTGATTACGTAAATTATAACAAAAACAACCTTTATTAGCGCACGCGAGTATCTGCGAGATTTATGCGACCAGATACAATTAGGTTGATCGATCGCACTATTTGTATAGAGCTACTATTTTGATTAGTCGGTTTGCGACCAAATACCGGATCTAAAAAGAGAATAAACAATCGAAAAGTATTCTTTAATAAAAGTAGAGATGTTTCCTTATTAAGAGCTTGAATAAAAATTTTATAAATATTATAAAATTTTTTTAAATAAATATTTCGGTAATTATAAATATTAAATATTTGCGTGTAATGATTACATTTCCAATATGGAATTAAATTAATTATTTTATGGATATTGTTAAGAAAAATTCACAATATTTAATCATTTTTTTTATATACAAATGTGCTTTGTATATAAAAGATATCACATATATAAGTAAAAATTCAATTTTTTAAAATAAAGGTATTTCTATAAAATAAATAATTTCTATTAAAATGGATGTTATATTTTGTATTTGGATGTAAGCATAATTGTCTTCTTATGTTTCACTGCAATGCTTTTCTTATTCAGTAACATATGCTGAACTTTGACATTTTTTAATAACATCTAATGTTCTTATGATTTAACTTTGCTCTTCGCATTCTTACCGTATTTTTACGTGTTTCAGTCAGAAGCCAGAAGCTGTTCGCATAATAATTTTATATATTAATACTGCTGCGAAAATCATTGTGATTAATGCCGTGGTAATTTAAAGGTTTATTATAATTTAAAGGCATTATAATTGCAACATGTGTACACACACACACACACTCTGGTTTACTTGTAAACAGAATTCAGCATTTACAAAAGTAATTGTTCTATGGCGACTTTTAATTTTGATATAAATTTTTAATTGATTCATATTACGTTGTAAATTCTAAATATCATTAAACGATTGTTGATGTTGAAGATAATTTATCTTTACTGAACATTTATTTAAAAAATAATTACTATATATAAAATTATATATGATACACGTGTCCGGATTCTGACGATAACAAATATTCTTCTATTTCTCTCTTACTATAATGTATACATTTATTAAAGTTTTCTATTGATTTTTTGTAAAGCCCACCGGTCTGTGAGACACTATTAACATAGAAAGTAATGCATTTGTTTATTTCGTGATGGATTACTCCGATTAATTATATTGAAAAACATGTTTGGATAGTCGGTAATTTTATTTCACACATAATTTTTCACTGAGAAAAAAACGTTATTCCAGCTTTATCAAATTTGAGTAATCTATCTGTTCCACTCGGATTTAGCTTAGTCAGGTTTCTTTCGGTGTAGAATAGGATTCCCCTTACGATCACCACGATACCGAGACCAACTACATGGTTTTTACCATAATTCTGCTTCGTCTTGCGTATCCCGTGCACGGCTTCCCCCTCCGTCTAATGGAAGAAGCGTGATAAAATTTTATCTCTCTTGCCGTTGATGTAATCCAAAAATAACGATAATACTCTTCTGGCCGCGGTCATTTTACTTTCCGTTTCGTTCCATTAGTATTGTTGTTATAGGTGTCTCAATTGTTTCTGTGATCGACAGTAGTTATATAGATAATAATCGATGCATGTGTCCTGAAGTCCCGTGATTTTTTCAACACAAAAGCATTGCATTTCTAACGATTGAAGTTTACGATTTCCTAACGAGAATGAAAATATCTAAACTTGAGGATTTTTTGGGATCTTACGTCCTTCAACTATATAAATTGCCTTGCCAGTTTATGCTACGTCTATTAGAAAATAAATATTATTACGAACTATATTTGTAAGCAGAATTTAAACAAAACGTCTTATAAATTATAATTATCGTTTCTAATGTATTTTTTTAAATATAAAGTTTCAAGAAATTACTTTTGTGTAAAATAATTTTAAATTAATCTCTCATTTGCTCTTCGCGTTTTCCTTTGATTTTTTTTAAATTAATCATTTATACACAAAGATGTTACTTTTTATGAAAAGCATTATTTTTTTCTGTTTTGTAGAATTTGTGGATTTAAATTTAATAAAATCTAGCTTTGTATGATAAGAGTTAAATATTAAATTAATTCTTTTTAGAACGAACTCATTTTTAAATGTTTTAAATGAAACTGTTTTATTACACTGTAAAAAATGATTAATATATGTTTATAGTATTTTGAAATCATTAATACTTTCTGAAAATTTATTATTTAGTTGTTATTCTGTAAGTAGTTGGCACAGAATTTAAAACTAAAATTTTTGTTAAATTTTGTAATTTGTAATTAAATTATAGATTATTCTGACTATTGTCGCTCTCGCGTCTTTCTAACTCAGTTACTGAATGATAAATCTATGTATTATTTGGAGATACTCTCCCGATGATTAAAGTTCGCGTTAATTGAATGGCTTACAAGTTAGCAACTTCGTTAATTAGCAATCGTTAATTAACGCAGTTAATAATTATTATCTTTTTGTTTAGCACGCGCGTCTCTAAAAAAGAAAATATGAAGCTTTCAATATATTTTTTTATAAAGTCTGATTATGATATGGAATTTGGATAGGGGATTAAGATGTAGATGCTTGGCGACGATTCGTTAGAATTTATTCAACAAAGGAGTGCATTTTGGTAAAATTTCTGTAAGAGCATTATTGTTGCAATTAAATCTGTACATACAATTTTTTTTTCTCTGAAACACTGCTTTTGTTTAAAATATTTAACAGGCAATATAGTTTTTTTTTTAATTATAATTTTCTTCTTTCGCTTTTTTTTTGCCGGATGGTTCGAGATATGTTGTGTAATAATTGAAAAATTAAGTACGTACGTTGGTTACTTTCTGGCATGTTTCCTTTTCTTTCTCCGATCGGCACATTTATATCGCGATCAATTTGTAATCTATTACGCTAAACACAAATAATTAAAAAAAAAAGAAGAAGAAGGAAGGAAAGAACGAGCAACCGAACGCTGATTTTTAATTCGTGAAAAAATCGAGACAAAGAAAACGAAAGCAATTAAAATGAACCATTGCGGATTGATCTCGCTGCCTCAGTCTTTCGCAATGAGGATGATCCGATTTTTTTCGTGATATCACTGATACATAAACCTTTTCACGCACGCATTGCATATTTACAGAAAGGATTGATAATGATTCCTTGCGGAACTTGCAATCTTAAAACTTTTTGAATTGACAACTATAGGCGAAGTTACTTTTCCTCCTCATCGCTTATAAGAGGAAATTAATTTACAGTCAAGTAGACGAGGACACGAAATGTAATTCGCGTGTTTCTTTCATTTTATTTTAAAATTTTTATCTTTTCGGATAATAATAATCATCCAAAAACGATGACACTGATGAAAAAAGCACACGTCGCTTAATGAGAGACGGACAGGTTGCAAGGTCGATCATATCAAGAGTAGTCCTTGAAAGCTGTCCGTAATTTTTTTTTGTTCTCCTAGATTAGCACATGCACACACTTTTTCTTGCGATTGATCATCATCGACAGTTATTGATCTCGGTAAAGGATCTCCCGTTTCTTGGCACTCACACGAGTTCTTCTCGTATTGTCTTCTAGAGCACTCTCCTTATATCAGTCATATAGTCAAAAGCGGAAGAAGCTTCAAGCGATCTCCTCGACATCGAAGACACGATTCTCACTTATCGGATGCAGTGTGGCAATGATACTTTCATTACACCCCACTCCTGTTGATTGTCCGAGAACAATCTCTCTTCTAGTATTTTCTCATAACTTAAATGATAGCAGGAACCCATTCTTGGCCACTTTAACGCGCTTTAATTTCTACCGGCTAGAGTTTAGTCTCATGTGGAAGATCAGGTAGACTGTTGCTAGGTGCTAGAAGTCCCAAGACCTCTGGAGTTTCTCTCCGGGATTCCTTAGCCAAGACTGTACCATTAGAGCCTTTAAAAATTGGCTTGTCGTTCTCGTAGTTCTTGTATAGTACACTGCCATATTCGTCGATACATTGCAGTATCGACGAAGCGGGTAACACTGTAGGTGGCCCTAAAGGTGGCGGTGGATCGTTTTCCTCGATGTAATTGATATGAATGCCTTCCATCATGTTCTGGCCGTGCGGGCTGGTTGACGATAGCTCGGTCGGCGTGTAATACTCGCTGTTGACGTCCTCCAGACTCGCTCCCGCCACCAGATTGTCAATCTTCGCTTTGAAATATGTATCCATGCTGGTTAGGTCGTCTTTGGTAGGATCGAATACCATGGAGTCGCTCTTGCCGCACGAGCCACTTCGGCAATTGTCGAAGTACAGATTTGGCAGGTTCTCCAGCACTTTAGCCAACGTCTGCTGCTGGTACTTGTAACTCTCGCGCAACCGCAATACCTGATGAGCGCTGAACTTGCGGATCTTGTTCCGTTGGAAGACGTAATTCTCGCGTACCCAATTCAGTTGACTGGTGGAATAGTCGCGTACCCTTTTCACCTGCGAAAGAGTAACAAAATAGACGTGACTAGATATATATCTATTGTATACGATCTCGCATTATATCGTCTTTGTCGTAACTAATGCGCTGTACGACTTTCTTTATCCTCTTTATGTTTCCTCTTAATGAAGAATCGTTTTGTCAATGTCGAAAAAAGACGTGTACACAACAACGTGTCTAATGAATTTTTTGTTACTTCACGTGTTGTAACTATATTATAATCAGATAGAAAGTGAATACGATAACAAAAGTAATTAAGCTAATTACGATAAACACAGTCACACGCAAAAATCTCTATGGGGGATTTGCCTATCGTACCTGATCATAGTACTGATCTCTCAGCGCGGTCAGATGGCTGGTACCGTAATCCCGTATGTCTCGTATATGTTGCATTTGACCCTCATAGCTGTCGCGGATCCATTCCACTTGCTGAACACAATTGTCCTTAATTCTATGCACCTGCTGCGTGTAGTTCTCTCTTAGTCTCTCGAGCTGCTGACTCTTGTACTGCTCGATGTTGTCGAGCATTTGGTAGATCTGCTTGGCCCGTGGAGTCACGCCCACGCGTCTGCAGCACATGCACCACTTGATGCATCCGCACCTATGAGATTCACAAAAAGGGAAAAATGTTAACGAGAGAGTTATGAAAGAAATATAAGAAGTCGGAATCGTCAGGTGGAGTTATTGATCGAGTCTTGACCTTCCGTTGACTTGTTCGCTTTACTCGTCAAAGTTGACGCTCTTGACGAATACTATCACTCGAACTGTTTAATGACTCTATTGACCGATACATGCAGGCACACGACACAATCGTGAGGACATTCAAGAAGAATATTTTTAACATACATTCTCGCGCATATATTCCACGTGTTGCTATGAATACTCACTTGAAGAACAAATACCGCAGCAGCTGCACCATTAATGTCAGTAGAAGAAACGCCACGGCGCAAATTGCGCCGACGAGGATACTAAAGATCTTGATATTATGCAAGGTTATCGGGTCCATGTGCAGCGTTATGTAGACGGTCTCGTTGGCGATTGGATTAACGGCCGTACATTTGTACTTGCCCACGTCCTGCCGCAACAATGTTGCAATGTAAAGGGAGCCATTCTCTAAGACGCGAATGCGGTTGTCATCGATAACCGGCCGATCTGTCCGCCAGCTGTGCACCTTCGGATGTTCAACGAATGCATCGGGAAAGCCTGGATCTGGTACCCAATGGAGCACTAGACCGCTCGGAGTTACCCAAGTCAAGGAAGGCGCGGGATTTCCACTGAACTCGCATTCCAGCAGCACCGAGCTCAAGAGAACGTATTGCTGAGTTTTGGTAGCTTGCACTAGAATTGGTGGACTGCACTCGAGGTAGCGTAATGTCTGCAGGATGTCTATGGTGCTGTCCACCTCATGACCGCACTTGAGTCCACTTTGGAAAGCCGCACGCAGATGTGCCCTGCTTTCCGCCCATTTGACGAACCAAAACATACGGCAATCGCAAGCCCATGAATTGCCCTGCAAATGTAGCTCGTTCAGCAACGGTAAATGCGCTACATTCGCAGGCAGAAAAGTCAACTCGTTGTTACGCAAATCGATTCTACGTAAGGACGGTGTCTCATTCAGAGTCAACTGGCCGATCTCTCGTAACGGGCTATTTGTAATTTCTAGTGTCTCCAACTCGGTCAGGCCAGCCAGATTTTTGTTTCGGAGGTTCTCCAATTTGGTCCCGGATAGCAGAAGAGTCCTAAGCCTGCTGACAGGTCGCCAGATGTTATCAGGCAGCGATGAGATCGGTAAACGACTCAGATCGAGCCATCGGAGATTGATGAGGCTTTGAAACGCGGTACCCGCGAGATGCGCGATTGGATTACCCCCGAGATCGAGGTGTTGCAAGGCCGTCAGGTCGTTGAAGAGACTACGTGGTAACGCGTCGATTTCATTGTTGGCGAGATCGAGCACTTTCAGTTGTACCAAGCTGGAAAATAGCCGCGGCGGCAGCTTTGTCAGCCGATTGCCGACTAGTCGTATCTCTTGCAGCTGTCGATTTGGCTGAAAGCTATGATCCGGCAACGAGACTAGTCGGTTACGGCTGAGATCGAGTCGTACGAGCTCTTTGGCGGACGAGAACGCCTGATAGGGCAGTACAGAAAGTAGATTTGCCGCCAGACGAATTTCCTGGAGGTGACCCAGATGATGAAACAGCTGCTGCGGCAGCGCGACCAGCCGATTCCCGGTGAGGTTCAGGTACTGAAGTTGATGCAATGGATGGAAGACGTCCGACGGTAAGTCGGCCAGCCAATTATCACCTAAATCGAGTCGTTCGAGATGCGGGGTAGCTCTGAACACGCCAGATTCCACTTTCTCGACGCCGCTCGACGACCAGATCAGCCGTCGCAGCTTGGCGGTCCTCTCTAAAGCGGTCGCCCGAATCACCTTCTCTTGGACATTTCTCAACGATACGCTCGTAATGTCTCGTGGTAAGACGACATTGGAGAAGTTGCGCCCCACGCATCTCAGATTGCCACCGTTGTTTGTGTCTACGCACTCGCACCACTCGGGACATTCTACTCGCGACGAGGATGACGACAGCGTGTCCGAAGGTGCACCCGCGACTCGCACCGTTACTACTACGACCAGAAAAACCAACCACCTCAAGCGTGGACCATCACCTCCCCTTGCCACCCGCACCCGCATTCCTAAAACCTGCAATGTGATGATTTGTACGAGTACAGCGATCTCCCATGTCCTGACGGGTGAGCGTTTTCTCGCGAGTGACTTTCTCGAATTACGGTCTCTTACGACCGCTGTTCTTTTTTTGCCCAACTAAAGGACAAAGATTTTATTTACCCGTAAACAGATTATACTTTTTCTATCTCTTGGTTTTGCTTTCTCTCTTTATTTCTTACACTGCCAATAGTAGTTTAAATATATCGATCACTTTCGACCACGTGTTCGCGAACGTTTCGCGTCCATCACCTTTCGCAACTCTAAGAACTCGCTCCCTCCACTACCTACTGAGAATCACAATTCTCCGCAGGCTATCCCGGGTATGTCGTTCCGAGAAAGAAATCGGAACGGGTAGTAACGAGAAGAGAGAGTCATTGGAATCTAACTATTTGCGAGTAGTCCGGCAGTATCGTACTTCGCAACATCGAGATGTCTTCCGACGATGACGATGCTAACGGTGGTGGCAGATGACGGTGCGTGGGTGATGATACTCCCGTCGGTGCCGTTGCCGCGTTGCGCCGATAACATAATTGCGCCCACCGCGTACTGTACGTGTTGTGCACCGCGTTGCGCGTTGCACCGGGGATCAGACTTATGAGGAAAATACCAGGTCTGAGTTTATGGAGAATGTTAAACCTGCTACCGATACTCGCACGCACGCACGCACGCAATAACGTTTTATTTTTCCTTCTCTATCCCTCCTTTTTCTCTCTCTCTCTCTCTCTCTCTTTGTCTCGTCTTCTTTCTTTCCTGTTATCCTACCGCCGGACGCGATAACCGTCTGCGTCAGTGTCTGGCGTTGTGTGCAGCAACGCCGCGGTCGCGCACCACTTGACACGCGTGTCACATGACACGCTCGTGCATATCGCGCTCCCGGCGGCCGGCCGCGTCCGCCTTCCACACATCAGATGCAAAAACCGACTATGGAGCGGAGCTCCGGCCACGACTGTACCGGAGCGGATTCTCCTCGTGGTGAGCGCCGGTTTGAGCAAACCGGCAACGTCGCCTATTCCCCAGTCGGTTGGCGCCGACGCAGACCTTGCCAGTATGTACTGTGAACAGGTTTAAGAGAGAAAGAGACAGAGAGAGCGCGCATGAGAGAAAGAGGGAGAACTGCTATGAAAGAGTAGCTCAACGAAAGGTACAGAAGGAAGGGAGGGTTTCATGTAGAAGACAGCCCTCGGCAATGACTGTGTCGAATGCTCGGTGAGAGTTTGGGATTTCTCGGCAGGCTGTTTCTACTCGGGGCTTCGAATCCATCGAATATCCGTTGAGACTTGCTCCATTTAAGTACAGTTACACCAATGTAAATTTAACTTTAATCTCGGTTTATTTTACTATAATTTTTTTCTAATTTTTAGGAAAAGGTAACGAATAAATTAAACCGAGATTAAAATTAATCTTCTGTTGGAATAAGCCTTAATGTGTCTTTTTATGCTCGCATTATTGGCGCAATGACCAAGTCTATTTCAGCGTCGTCGTCGGATCCGTCGATTGTTTTCTCGAATATTCTCCCGAAGGTGCGTGTCTGGTTCTATCGTCTGGTATTTTGGACATCTTGGCCACAGGCTAGCTGTCTTCGAGCTATTGCCATATTACGATTGACTCTAAAATAGTTTCAAGTTCAGTGCCAAATTAGTTGTTAGCATTTGTTAAATTGCCGACACGTTTATGCGACCGAGGGACAATTGCGTTTTATCTTTGATTAGCTCGCTTTTATTAGTGATGTTTCATCTCTTTTAAATCTCTAGGAGAAAACTAACAATCGGGGAGGAAATTGTAAAACTGATTATTATAAAAATTAGCTCATAACTGACTGATTATCAACTTAAATTTATAGTCAAAGTTAAACGATTTTAAAAAATGTGTAGTAAATTATTTAAAATAAATCTAGAATTTGTTGTGCAATTCAAAAAGCAAGAATTTCTTGAGATTGCAGGTAGAAATTTACGAAAATAATGCTACGAACTTTCAGAACTCATGCAGAATAAATTTAGAGTCACGAAAGAAAGATTTTGTTCCTGGTTGGATCATAAATAGTATCTCCCAGATAGGGACGTAGAATCGTAAATAGAATATCGTACATAATAGAACTTCTATGAACTCTCATTTATATTGGCAAAAGTTTAGAATGTATAGTTTCAAGAGAGATATTATATATTCTACATACGTTTCTAGGATTATAAATAGATACTAGTGCAACTCCAATTGTATTTAATGTTAAATATTTTACGCATCGATCCATTTTCGAAATCGGAGATAATGCACCTTATCACGGTCACTTAATAAAGATAAATGCAGGGAGATAAAGAAACTTTCGACAATTGTTTTGTTAACAGAGACCGGTCGGCCTCGAGTCTGCAGGACTTTAAACTTTGATTCTCACTAATGGAACCGGTCGTGCAGACGGTAGAATCTCACGAGCATCCGGGCCAAAAGATTCTCCCACGCTCTTGTTCGCATTTAATCAAATCTATCTTGCCCATGGTGCCTTGATGTCTAGCGTAAACTTTGTGAGGAAGCGCCTATTTTTTCTCAATCAATTCCAAAAAACTTGCAGCAGTTAAACAAAATTCAATCGAAATTTTACACACGAAATTGATGTTATGTTGAATTATAAAATATCAAATTTATACTTTTAGATATAAAATTATTTTGTATTAAAAAAATAATATGTTAAATTTTATTTCTAATAATAATACTAGCTCTTTTTAAAATAGCACTTATATATTTATCTTAAAAGTTTTGTTTAGGTATTATAATACTGTTAGAAACAAATCGGCATCCGCAGGCTTACTACATATATAGGTCTAACTTGTTATCTTTTGCTGTGTGTTAAAATAAATTTTTAATATTATTATTTAAAACTTGTACTTGTATATTAATTAAAAAAATTTTATCGTTAGAAACGATGATGCGATATATTGCAATCTGTGCATCGCTATCTATATAGGTCTAACTTGCTATTCTCTATGCTTTTTACGCTTTCTATGTGAACATATAAATAGACATTATACAGATATTATTAGCGTACATGGATAGGAAGCATGTATTCTAATCGCAAAAAAGTATTAATCGTCGTTACAATTTGCGTTATCGAACTATAAACATCGTGACATAGTCCAGCTGCTTGAAATATAATTGCGATGACGCAAGTGAAGAACGCATTTTCACTTTTACTTTAACGTCGAACACGCCGCTACGCTTTCCCGTGGAATCCGTTTGTTCGCTTTTACCTCGTACCGTGCGCTTCGGAAAAATAGCATTGAGTTTTCGTCGGTGAAGTTATTTATAAAAATGTCACGTGCGGATTCGGACTCCCGTAGAGTCGCCGCGCCATCATGCGTTTGCTGCCATTTCGTTGATTTCTGCCTGAACGTAAAAGGCGTATCGTCGTGATATGATGTAGGAGGGATGGAGGTGGGTGTCCCTTAGGTTTCCCACCGTGCAATATCGATCCGTGACCTAACTTTGTTCCACGCTTTTGCCACACATTACAACATGCAGGCCATTTAGAGTCAAATCGGAAACATCGTTCAACACTATTTCCAACCTGAAGGAAAGGCGCAGGTTTAGGGTAATCCGAAATTGGTTTAGAGAGATTTTTCGCAGTTCAATGCTTCGATATGCTCGCTAACAGGAACGAATCTAATTCGTTTTCCGCCAATTTTGAAACATTTTTTTCAGAGACTCATTCAGAGAAAAAAACATGGTGACAAAAAATTATAATGGTGACAACTATATAAGTATAGAATTTTATATGTAGAATTAACGTATTTATAGTTGAATTAACTATTTTATTTTATTGCAACTATAAAACAATTTATTCCACTATGTATATTAATTCTACATGTTATTAAAAAAAAAATAATCTAATGGTAATAGAGTTACCAATAACTACCAAATCGAGTAAAATAATTGCAATTAAATATTCGGTTAATATAATCAAAAATAATTTTATTGTTTTAAATATTTAGTAATTATTACCAAACGGTTGGTTATATTATATTACAATATTATACTTTATTATTATATTTTGTAATACTAAATATTTAAAAAAAGTGTAATTATTTTTGATTATATTAACTGAACACATTTGATTGCTATTATTTTATCCAATATTTGATAATTGTTACTAAACTTGTTTTTATAAAATTTGTAGTTGCCATTGTTATTATTGCCGTGTATATATTTCTCTGAGTGTAGATAAAGCGTAATATTTTTTGTTACAAAAAAATGACGAATATATTTTGAAATTCTGTTACCAATGGCTTCTGTTATCATTTGAAACTCTTGGTGTTGGAAGAGAAACATTCCTTCGCGACGCGTAATTCTTACTTATTCTATAACAAGCAATTATGTAACAAGACGATTATTTGCAAACAATCGGTTCGACGATGGGGACCATGTGCAGATAACACGATATCGTTTTACGAAACCGAGTGGCAGCTCGGTTAATTGCGCACAATGGTAGCGTACGAGGAAAACAATTTTGCGGCCGAATTAATGGGAACGAACATCGTCTGCATTGCGTGACACGTTTACGGCCATGTAACATTGCTTATTGCGCGAATCAGGAGCAGCCATTTGTCAATAAACTTCGCAGTAACTGGGCGATTTCTCTGTATGCCACCAGGAGTGTTATCTCTTATACCAGGCGAGCCTCGCGCGAATAATCGAAGCTATTCGTTCGTGTTAATAGATTCGTCTCCTCCGCTAGTGCATAACGAAGGTCAATAATCCGATAAAACTATTTGTGTGACGAAGAATCCGCGACGGCACGCGTTATTGGAACATCGATCGTCTTTACGTGAATCGACCACGAGCACCTTTGCGTATATACGTAAAACTTACATTATATTCTAATAAAAGGATTGTGTAAATAGTTCTATTTCAATTTCCGATATATTGCGATCGATTACTAGGAACTAATGACATTTAGAAATGTGACTCGTTCCAATATTTTCTTTAATACGGGAATCTATTTCAATATTTTTTCATTTGGCATTTGATTCAATTATTCAGTAAAATAATGTTGTAATTTGGGACTAATTTAGTATACTGCTTTTTTTTAGAATTTTTGTAGAATACTTATTACTTTAGCTTATATGTAGGTATGTACCAAGAAGAGATTTGGTTTACGATTTTTTCTCTTAATTTTTAAGTAGGTAGGTGGGATGGTCACAGTACCTAGATATAATTTTCTTTAAAACCTTGTTCTGGAAAAGAAAAATAAGAAGGCAGGTATATTTTCCAGATGCCCAGAAGTCTTAAAATTCATTTATTTTCTTCTATCTTGTATTACAAGGATATAACTAATTTAATTAATAGGATGACTATTATAACATAATATATTAGTAAAAAATATAATTATAAGATTAAAATTTTTTGAAGTATTCTGAGCACTCCACTTATCAATTTGTACAGCTTTAAACCATTTACCTACTTAAAGATTAATCTAATATTTACATCCATCCACGCCTTGTGATTAATGACTATTACCTAAACCTAAATTTACATTTTCCCTTATTTTTTTGTATCTTTAAAATTACACTTTTTTTTTAAATTAAACATTGATTAATTTACATTATCACATTTAATTATTATACAGTTTATATATATATATAAATATATAAAATCCTAGTCTTTTTTTCTTATATCAAGTTCTCTTGTATGTTTCTTTAATATAATGTTTGAACAATTCTTATGATTGTTTTTCTCTTTTTAGAATTCTTGTAAAATGAAATAATCAGTTTATTTACGTTAGCGGCAATTATTTTCACGCCGCAACCGTATAGTAATCTACGTAACGGTACTGTGTTTGCGTGTACAAATTTCATCTGCACGTTCAAAAACGTTTTATCTTTGCGTAATCATGGACTATCGTGATTCAACTCGACTTGAACTTTGAATAGATTAATCGTTCTAATCTAAAATATCGATTCCTGCC